GAGCTATGCGATCATCGCCTGAAGCGGCTCTTAATGCACTTCTATGCCTAACGCCCCTTGATCTATAACTAGGCAAGGAGGCGAGGGCTAGTTTGTATAGGATTAACGCCCAGGGCGGTCTGAGCTTGCTCTCCTACAGATGATATCCATGCTCGACTCAATTAAGGAAACACCGGTCTTATGCATGATCTTAGATATCATGCGTCCACTACACACTTTTGATAAAAAGTGTATAGTGGAATTACCCTCCAGAGACTAAATGGCCAGGTTAATTGTGAGGTCGGTATCCTCAACTCCTTTTATTCATTGTAGACATAGGACTTAGCAGTGAACTAAAGCAATCAGTGTAAGGGGCATCCCGTTGAATTTATTCAAGGATTACCTGAGGGAACGTAAGCAACAAGTAAAAATAGGTGACTACATTAGTGAGGAATCACCGCTTACCTTTGGTGTTCCTCAGGGAAGTGTACTAGGTCCTACATTGTTCCTTATTTATATCAATACATTAACTAACCTAAATTTATTCGGCGTTCGAGTATTTTCTTGTGCCGATGACACCGCAATAGTTTTTACGGGAAAGAATTGGAACTCGGTATTTAGAAATGCTGAATCTGGTCTATTTATAGTTTCAAAATGGCTTCAGAGTAACCTTCTTTCCTTAAATATTGCAAAAACTAAATATTATGCTTTACGATTAATAATAGAATGCAACCAAATAATAACAATAGTTTAAAAATACATTATTGTCGCATTTATAATAACGTTCTAACTGTAACTAAGTGTACAGTTATCGATAAGGTTGCATCTATAAAGTATTTGGGGGTTGTTCTGGACCAACACTTGAACTGGTACTCTCAAGTTGAATATACGAGTAATAGGATACGGAAATTAATTTGGATATTTAGGAAACTAAGACATGTCACCTCTAAAAAACTACTAAACCAAATATATATTGCATTGGCACAATACATAATAGGGTATTGTCTCTATTTCTATCTCTTACTCAGTTTGGGGAGATGCAGCTAAAACAAAATTATTAAAAATCGAAACAAGTCAGCGTTGTCTACTCAAAGTTATGTATTTCAAAACCATTTCGTTTTCCAACTGAAGAACCTTACAAGTTGAGTGAGCTTCTTTCAATAAGACAGATATATATCCATCAATAGTTTTACGGACACACAAATCTTCGCCTTTTAACTCAGAAATAATGACGAGAAGAAGAATAGGGTAGCAGTAACTAGATACGTAAAAAGCTCAGCGTCAGTTCTTATCGCAATCTGCTCATCTCTACAATATACTGAGCAAAGATTTGGATTTATATCACTTGAACACATACAAATGTAAACAAATAGTTACAAAGTGTATATATATATATATATATATATATATATATATATATATATTATATGATTATTTTAATTTTATATTTATTATGTTGATATGTTGAAATAGGTTTTGGTAAACGAAGAACGAGAACTGTGACAATTTATACGAACTTACACATTCACACTCACACAATACACATATATATTTACACAAACACACACAAAAAGTGTCATGCTTTTCTTTATAAGAATTAACTTTTTTGAAAATGATTGTTGTTTTGCTTGTTTTTCATCTATTGTTAACATTATTATTTTTTAAGTGTTTTTCCGAATTGTCATCACAAACACATTTAAAGATATTTAGTAAAGTAAGGAAGAGCGGGACCACCTGACACTAGTATTATTATTACTTAATAGGATGGTCCCAATCTCTGTTTACAATTACAAACTGTGTGTGTGAAATAAAGATTTTTTTTTGATTTGATAGCCATTTGCACCAAACTGGTAAAATGAAAAATTCAATAAATGGGGGTATCTTCTAGGCACTGAAATCGATTTTGTAACTCGAGCTGAAAGGTTTCGGGATTTTGGATTAAAGCACGAGGGGGACGGAGCGTTGACTTCATTAGACGAGACCTCTCCAACTTAACGTTTAGGTTCAGTGTGCCTCTAACCATTCGGTGATCGTTACCAGTTTTCAACCTCGCGATCACTGAGACATCACTGAACAGTTGCCGTCTAGTCGTCATAATGAAGTCAATCTAATTTTTTTGTCGAACCATTGGGGCTCGTCCAGGTCCACTTTCTGTGGGGTCGCAGTGATACTGGTGTCTTTGCCTAGACCTGCATAGCTGCTTTCACATAATAAAAAAATGGACAAAGGTGCTTTTGCTTATAAAACTAAAAGAAAGAAGGATTGAAGCCTCAATGTAAGTTGCTATATTAAATGTAATTTACAGTAAAAGAGGAGACGCGTCATTATTTTTATTAGATCTGTAAACAGAAACAACAATCAATCAAAGGTTGTTGTTGATGCATAATCGTTTAAATAATAATTTCAATTGGATACATAAATAGAGATAACTTAAAAGTGGTACGGTTTTGGGCTTTAAATGTTTGCGCATGTGATTTTATAGTTTAGATTAGACGATGTAACAAGTGCTCCGATGATGATACGAACCTCAAGCTTTCATCAAGCGTCATGTGTAATGTACGTGTCACATCTGTACCGGTGGTTATTGGGAGCACTGAGCTCGAAGTTGTTGACGAGTATGTTATCCTGGGACAAGTAGTCCAACTAGGTAGGTCCAACTTCAACAAAGAGATCTCACGAATTTAATTCAGCTGGGCAGCGTTCGGGAGACTGCGACATATCTTCTCGACAGGTATACCACAAAATCTCAAAACTAGATTGTACAACCAGTGCGTGTTGCCACTTCCACTTAGGCAACTTGTGATACTGTTGTCATCGTAACTACTGTGTTGAGTTGCCGCCAAAATCTCCATTACGCGTCATATTATTTTGTATGGACAAAGATCTTTTTGTTTATAATAAATAAATGACCAAATCCGTAAACAGAGAATTATGGAGTGTAGAGGTAAGGAGTACAGACTCTGTATAAAAAAGTGTCCGTAGAAAAGCGCTGAATAAGGGTGGCGTCACTGTAGCTACAGTCTAAATTTTAAAGAACTATTGGAGTTTAGGCGGGAACTTGGCCGCCGACGGATTGTCGCTCCTGTTTTGTCGCTTGAATAATAGTTTTAAGTGGATTTTTATTCGTAAAAGTGATGCGATTCTGTGAATTAAGTGTCTTCGCGTGTGAACTATTAGAGAAAACGACGAAACAAGTGCTTTGATGTTGATATAAACCTCAAGTTAATTTGATCGCTTGGGCGCCTTATGAACTTGAGTGGCCGTCGTCATCAACAGTCCACTGGGGTGAGCTATCGTCAAAATCTCCCAAAAACTTCACAATGTGACGCATCAGCATATTGTGAAGAAAAAATATATAAAAAGATTCTGAAAGAAATGATAGGCTCAGAAGGGCTAGAACCCAGATCCGTATACGCCGGTTAAATAAAAAATAAAAATCTCTGCTATATCTACGACCAAATCAATGACATTGACAAACACTCAGTGTTGCCAGATTTACAGGTTTTTCCTCAATCTAGGGGTTTTTGGAGGACGTTTAGGTTTTTTTAGAGGTTTTAATATCACGAAATTAATCTAGAGGGTTTTCTTGAAGGTTTTTCACTAGTCTTACCAACTTTCGAATTCTTTTTCAAAACAGACAATGCCGACAATTCATTATCGATATAAAATATCGATATGGTAGTATCACAATTAATTTGTCCGTCTTATACTCATAACTTTTTCTATATTGATGTATTTAACCTACTTGCGTGCATAAAATGTAATAGTGTTGGAGATTTAGATTTGTGTATGCCTTAGTGACACAAAATTTTATTGAGTAGGTGTGCAGTACTTTCTATGTACAATACATTGATTAAAACTACTTTTACGGATTTTATCGTGTTTTATTTATTTTATTTTTAATACCCGACGTTTCGGGTGCTTTCCAGCACCCATGGTCACGGGGGACTGAGGTAACTGACGTCCTGATGTCAAAGTTAACCCGGAGTACCTTCAGCTTTTTAATTATTGTCTTTGGTCCGATCTACGCAGAATGAACTAACTGTGTTTTGAAGTCTTGCAGTGGTATGCTTGGGTTTAGTTTTAATTTTATTAATTATATGATCCCAAGCAGGTGGTAGTACTCAGCCTCCTTCTCTATTGAAATTAGGATGTTTTTTTTAATTTCAATAGCCTTACGTATCATCCTTGGTAGGAATCGATTTTCTTTCGCGAGGATTTGTGGTCTATCAAATCTGATGTAATGGTTGGGGCCATCTAGGATATGATCGCAAATTTCTTCCCAGAACTTCCCAGAACGTTGATGCTTCACGTCAGCTATGTTGTGTGTAACGTCGGGTATTAAAAATAAAATAAATAAAACGCGATAAAATCAGAAAAGTAGTTTTAATCAATGTCTATGTAGTGCTTCTTCCCCTGCACCAAAAATGACAGACTTTTATGGTTCGTAGCATTAGGCGCATTACTCGTCCACTGGGGTGAATGGTCTAAGTACGTACCTCCCCAGTGCTAAGCGCCTACTAAGCTTGTATGTAGTAGAAACTTTTTATTTTTGATTAATCTGGTTCACACGAAACTTGACCGAATAAAAAATTCAGAGGTTTTTTATCCCCCTACATAGGGAAACTAGGGGTTTTTTGGAAAAATCTAGGGGGGAATATGAAAAAAATCTGGCAATACTGCACACACTGTCAAAGTCAGTCTGAAAAATATCAATGAAGATATATATCACAGAGTACATTTACCCTGATATATATCTACATTGTGATTTATAACCACAAATATTAAATTTTCAAAGATGTATGGACAGGACACATAACTTATAATGTTATGAGGACCTGAGAAGAAAAAAAGAATCATCTCATCAACCGTTTGTCAAAATATTTTGAGATGCTCTTCAGTAAATAATATAAGTAATTTGTAACGTTGCCTAGAGCGTAAATTATTTTATGATACAAACGTATGTACCTTTAATGTGTTAAAATAAAAAATATTGTATTTTAATATTATAGTAAAGAGCAATGAATAAGACTCGCATTTTAAGGTTAGTATTAAAAAGTGATTTGCTTGGCGTACACGTCATAAAATACTAATAATGAGTAAACCTAGATATTCTTTAATAAATTATTTTTTATCAAATATAACATTAGTTAATATATAATTTTGCAGTGGTTACGAACTTGTGGAGAAAGGCATAACCAAGAGTCAAGCAACTCTTCCTGAATTAGGGTTAAAAGATGTAAGCCCTACTGGGTCTTGGTTGGAACAAAAACAGATTCAATCTGCTATAGAAAGTAGAAAACACTTAATTGATGCTGAACGAATAGAAAAGAGGTAAATTTATTTCTTTATCATTAAATCTAGAAGTAAGATTTATGGTATTTCATGTTTTGAATCTATGGTTCTCAATTTTTGGGCTCTATCCAGATTAGTTTCATTTTTCAGTGTTTAAATTAGAGGTGAAGTTATAATGGGATCTTATTTATCTGTTATAATTGAGATAGTGATGAATGATCATGGTAAAGTCATTAATTAACTTTATTATTACCTAAAGTTACAGCCTATATAGGTTCCACTGCTCGGCAGAGGCCTCCTCTCATTTCTGAGAGTGTTTTAGGGCAAGAAAGTGTCCACTGCGCTGCCCCAATGCATGTTGGCGAACTTCACATGTCTTTGAAAAAATTTTTTTCTTATTTCTCAGATGTGCAGGTTTCCTCACAATGTATTCCTTCACTGCTGAGCATGTGGTAAATCAGCGCTTAAAGTTGCAATTAACAATTTCATTGGTGCCGGCTTGGTTCAAACCAGGTTTGTTCGCAAACTGTGAAATTTACAGAGAGCGCTAACCATCTGAGCTGCCATGGCTCGTACTCTCTCATTTATTACTTACATACAAAAAAATACAGTTTCACTGTGAATGTCCCCTTTTTAAGAAAATTGGCAATTAAAATTGAAAAGCCAAATGCAGAAGAAAATAGTGCATGATACAGTTTTTTCATAAAAAAGTCATGCCAAAAGAAATATTTACTCAATGCAATTTCACCTGACAGTCTTTATGCTTAAGTTTGTGTGGCAACCATCAAAGATCTTTACAGAGAGGGAGTTGGTTGTAAATGAAGGTTTGCATTGCTGCTGATCCAGTACCCAGTTCTCACTCAAGGTCTACATAATGAAATTTTTTAGTTTTGTCAAATAAATTTTTCAACTGCTGTGACAATATTCTTTTAAGTGTCCACAGTAGGTAGCAGACCTGTCTTTGCTTCATTTTCAAAGTTTATACATTTTATTTTGTATTCAGCATACCAATTAAAGCAGCGGCTACTAACCTATTCAATCTTGTCTCAGTCTTTATTAATTGTAGAAAATTGCAAAAAAATATATCTCTCCCTTTTCTAGAATCTTGTTGCAAATATATTCTGTATGACTCACTATTACTGTGATAACGCAGGCATTGCACATTTTTATGAGTTTAGGTTATAAGCAAAATATGTCATGCTTAGACGCCGAGTTGCGAAAAATAACCTGTGATATTCTAATGAGTGTAAGTTACATGCATTGCAAGAGTGCAAGCCTCATGTTGCACTAATCTCTGGTTTAATTAAATTAATGGTTATAAAATTATCTATTACCAATAGTTTTGATCAATGACCTTAATAGTGTCTCCCAACAGATAAGTCTTAAGTTGAACATGCACAAAATGAAACTCATGTGTAATGTCCATGTCACACCTGTGCTGATGGTTGATGGGAGCACTAAGCTCGTAAGTTGTTAATAAGTATGTTAACCTGGTACAAGTAGTCCAACTAGGTAGGTCCAACTTTGACAGAGAGGACAATCACAAATTCAACTCAGCTGGGAAGCGTTCGGGAGATTGTGACACATTTTCTCGTCAGCCATACCACAAAATCTTAAAACTAGATTGTGCAACCAGTGCGTGTTGCCAGTAATGATCTATGGATCGGAGACATGGTCCTTCTTTGCCGGTCGTATGAGGAAGCTCTAAGGCACTCAGCGAAGCTATGGAGACGGCTATGCTCGGAGTTTCTCTGCGTGATAAACTTAGAAATGAGGATATCCACAGTAGAACCAGAGTAACTAAAATAGCCCAACAAATTAGTAAACTGAAGTGGCAATGGGCTGGCCACATAGCTCAAACAACCGATAACTGATGGGGAAAAGGTTCTCGAGTGGCAGTCTCGTACTGGCATGCGAAGTGTAGGGCGTCCCCCCATTAGATGGAGTGACGACCTCGTAAGACATGCAGAAAGTCGATGGATACAGGTGACTCAGGACCGTGGTATGTGGCATTCCTTGAGGGAGGCCTATGTTCAGCAGTGGACTTATGAAGGGCTGTAATGACGATGATATAGAATAGTTTTACCTCCTACTGTCATCCTCAGTTTATCATTCCTAGGTTCAGAACCCAGAAATTAAACTGTTACATGTGAACAAGCGGACTCACCAAGAGTAGTAGCCAAAATTATAACATTCTTGTGGCTTTTTATTAACTATATTATTAAATATTATTAATGGCAATGGGAAATGCTTATTCTAAAATGATGTTGGCTAAGTGGTCTAGTAGGAATTTCCGTCAAGTTCTCAAATTTTAAGGCATTTAGTTATTATGCACAATTTTCTAAAATATATATCTTGTTGAATAAACTGCACCTGCAAGTGAATTCATGGCATCCGTGATTTTGTTTCATGTATTTTATTATTTTACCTGCTTTAGTGGAGTATTGAGTCATGCAGTGTGGAGAGAAAGTTTGATGCTAGCTGAAGTGACACAAAAATCAGGAGGACACTGGCAATTCATGGGTCACAATGTTGGCAAACAACTATTTCTTTTTCCCGAGGAAGCCCTTTTCTTAATGGAAGTTGTAAGTATACATTCAATAATTCACAAATATAAACCAGTTTAGATCATACACTGTTGTAGATTATTTTATTTACCGTCAACCCTTCTAGTATCAGCAGGACAACAGAACAACAGGACAACTAGTGAAGCTAGTAAACATTTTAAACAACAAATAATTCAATAAATCCTCTTCCCCCTCAAATCTCAGTTGCGAGTAGACGTCTTTAAAATTATGTTGAAATCAGCTTATCTCAGTATTTAATATAATTAGGAAGAGTGATGCCTCATGACACAGTTATTCTTTTATACTTAATAGGATGCTCGAATTACGGTATTATTTAGTTCGCCTTGAGAAAGAAATAAATAAATTTTCAATAATTATATTTCTCTCAATATTTGATATTATTTCATGATTTACTATGTTTTTTGTGTCTGATTGTATTATCATAGTGCCTATGCCTCTGACAATGCATCCAAGTTTACCTCTGATCTTATATTGTTTAAAGTTTATTGCTTCCTTCAGTATTCTTAAAATGTTTTCATTGTTATAATTAATCCGAGGGTCAGCAAAGATTGTCATACACCTTACATATCTAAAACTAAATAGTTTCTCAGTTTATTTTTTTATCTTGGCCTTAAAGTCGGGCTGTTGGATATGTAATTGGATAAAAACAGTGTAAAAGGTTCAAGTTTAACCCTTACAAACCTAAATTGAAAAAATTAAAAAACTAAGTAGACGTCTACTTCATGATACTAGACCAAATTGACATATTTGCGTTTCATTGTAAGTAATTTTTAGTGAAATTTATTTTTATCGTAATTTATTCCAAACGCATTTCGGACATCTAAAAACAGTGTAATAGGTTCAGTTTAACCCTAAAAAGCCTCCTAAACTAAAAAAATTAAAAATCAAGTACTGTATGTCTAACCAACCCAACATTCCATCCTTAAGGGTGAGAAAATTAGGGGATTAAGATTTTATTGTATTGATTTTATATTTCTAAATTCCTAGTTCAAAGATAACAAATAAAATGTTGTTTAAAGTTTGTAGTTGTTAACTTTGAATTTGTGTTATTTCTTAGACCATGTAAAAGGGTAAAATATATAAGCTATAGATAGATAGATAGACAACTCTTTATTGCATTGTTGCACAAACGGCGGTCATATCGCTTTAGCGATTTCTACCTGACAAACGGAACATAAAAGGACATTATAATTTTATATTTTGATGGATAGGTGCAACGTGCAATATGAAATAAACAGGAAAAAAAATAATATTTAAATATTTATAAAAACATATTAATAATATATACAATATTTAATGAATATATATACATACATATATATATGTGTATATATATACATATATATATTATATATATATATATATATATATATATATATATATATATATATATATATATATATATATTATGTAATATTAAATATATTTATATATTTATATAAATTATTTATATATATTTATATATATTATATATACCTATGTACAATAATTTTAATTTAATATATTCAAATATATACTGCAGAGAAAATTTAACAAAAAAATCAAGTATTTATGAAAAGAGGAAATACATATAATTTATTATTATGACGGGAACTTCAAATAATACTCCTTAAGTAGTTTTTTAAAAGACTGTAAGATTGCGCTTTCTGAATGTTAAGTGGTAATGAATTCCAAAGTCGCGTTGCTAGTGAAGTAAATGGTTTATTATAAAATGAAGTTACGTTGTAAGGAGTATTTAAAGCCAAGCTATACACTGAACGCAAATTGCGGTTATGAAATTCATGTCGATAGTGAAATTGTTCCTTAAGGTATCTTGGAGATTTCGGATCAAACAGTACACAAAAAAGTAAAGAGAGTATATGAACATTCTGGCGAAGGCGAATAGGGAGCCACTTGAGTTGATTTCGAATTGTGATACATGATCATATTTGTGTAAACCAAATATGAATCGAATGGAATATATTCTGAAGACGCTCAAGCTTGTTTAATTGCTCCATGGTAATATAAGTGTAGCATATGTCAGCATAGTCTAAAATAGGTAACAAAATGGAATGTGCTAACACAATTTTGATAGAAATGGGCAGGAAATTTCGGAGTCTCTTAAGACTTAAGACAAGCTGCAAACATTTTCTTGCTTATTTGTTCAATTTGAGGTGCCAAAAACATTGTACTGTCAATTAGAACCCCTAGATTTTTTACAACCTTACTATAAGGAATAACAGAATTCTCAAAACAAACAAAGGGCAGCGTATGCCACGTAATTTTTTGTAGTAGTTTGCTGCTACCTATCACAATTACCTGTGTTTTACTAGGGTTAGTTAACCTTGATTCAGAAATAATTGTGAGATCACGATTTATGGATAGCACGGCGGATGGAAGATTTTCAATACTTGTTTGAATATTTGGAGATTGTCTGCATAAAGATGGTAGAGCGAAGAAATTCCTGGAGTAATGCCGATTTCAAAAAGCAATTTGGTTCTTAAATTGCGGCTTTCTAAATAATTATTTGATACCCTATGCCTCATCTCATATCATTTACAGCCTATTATCTATTGCTGAACTTAGGCCTTCCATAGATTACTTCAGGGGGGGGGATTTTTGCCATAGTTGCCATACTTGGCAACTTCAGTTTTTTAGTCATACCTAGGAAGATGCTGCTGCCCATATCCTGATTTGTTTCACTCTGTCGCCTCATACTACACCCATGAGATGATATAAGGTAATGGATATTCTCACACCACCATACACGCTACCTTAGCATTGAAATTTCTTCTTGAATTTGGCTTTACTTTTATAAAAAAAAATACTCTCATGTCTTTTTAATCTAGTAGTAGTAGTTTTCTGATTTTTCATGAGTTATTATGTTTTTCAGAATTGTCTTCTTCTTAAACACAATGATGTAAAAGTTTCTTTGCAACAAGCATATTCATTATTGCTTAAAGACAGGAAATCATTAATACAATATAAGGTATATGCATCACTGAGTAGATTGGGTTATAAAGTATTCCGACATAAGCACAGAAAAGGTAAAAGTGATAATATAAATCAGTGCTCAAAAAACTATAATGCTAAAAATAACAATTCTAAAGATAATTTTGTTAATATAAGTACTTCAAGTGATGCAGGAAAATATGAAAATAAAGAAAACAATGATTCAGAAGCCCAAATCAATAAAACAACGAAAACTTATGGTGAAATCGATTGTGACATAGAAGTAATAACTTGTGACAGAAAACCTGGTGGTAAGATATAATTTCCCATCATTTAAAAACAGTTGTAATGGACATAGGTATCAAATGTCAATAATTTTATTTGTTTTTTAGATCTTCCAACATGTGGAGATAACAGTAAAAATAATGCAACTAATGAAGTAATTATAGAGACTAAACATACAGATATTGTAAAGGAAACAAACTCGGGTTAAACAAATTTTGATATGGGTTATTATAATATAAATTTTGATTTAATTATTATATAAATTTTCTTTAAATATTTTTTACAGATTTGCAAAGTTCTACTGAGGAAGGAAATACTACATTAACTTATGAAAAACTTGAAGATAAAAAAAATTTTGCAGTGATTTATCAAAGTCAAATTAAAAAGTTGAAAAAGCGACTGCTTAAATCTTGTGATCCTAAGAAAATTCACAAGTGCTTTAAGTACTTGCCAGATTTATTAAACAAGCAAATAGTTTCTATAAAAGTGCCTGAAAAATCCTGCGTGCCAAAAAATGTCAACTTCAATAAAAATATTTACACACTTAATTTGGAACAACTTAAAACTAAATGCCTTAGACCCCCGTCAATGGAATCCCATACATATAGCATTAGTGACGAAGTTAATGGAGCACATATTAGAAGAGTGAGAAATATTTCAGATAGTAGTAGATTTAATAATAGTTCAGTGTTCCAGTCTCCAAACTTATCAAGGTTTTCGGTGAATAACATTCAATTTCGCCCATTTCACTTTTGGCGGCCGCGCGCCAATCTAAACTTTTTTCAGTTTAGCATGTTATTTAATCGACCCCCTGTGCCAAATATGTTTTTTACATCTAGGTATCCATCCTATCCGAGATTTCAAAACATTTACAGATCCAATTGTTTTAGTCCGAGTTATGCCTTCCACGAACAAAGATATAATGTTAGAAATTTTAGAAAAAGAACGCGAGATAATGCCAAAAGTTTCCATTTCGAATCCCTCAAAAGACTAGCTGCAAGATTAAAAAATCTTATTCAAGCTGGTAATAGACAAATACAGAACATGGAAGCCCTTCAAAGTCTCATACAAACATATAACACGCGTTATAAATCCAGAGTACGACTTTCCAGTGACTACGAGATAATTGAGGATGAAAATATATTAGAAACTATAGAGTTAGATGATGATGAAGAGACAAGGAGCAAAAAACCTCGTGTTGATGAATCATTTGATACATATACAGAAAATTTTAACAAAATTAAACATCTCGCCAATCAACTAAAACACCTTGAACGTGATAACAATGCCACTGCTCGTCATAGGCGAGCATTTTCAAATCTAGTCAAAACTTTTAATAAATCTTACAATGCTGATATTTACATTAATAGTAATTATGATATTATAGATAGGAGATATATCGCTCTTGACGACTCCTCTTCTGACTCTGATTGTGTTGTAAATGAGTCAGTTGATACCTCCAGTAGTAAAAAGTTGCGCAATCCATTTAACATTTTGAAACGCCTCTCACAAAAACATAATAAATCAATAGATGATCCAAGTACTAGCAGTGAAAGTTTTGATAATATAAGTGATAACCCAATCGCAGTTAAAGATAACAAGTATAGTGAAAAAACTTTGAAATGCTTTGGCAGAAATTGGCTACCCGACGAAAATGATTTTGGAAGAGCTGAAATTGTATCTGGCAAATTATTAAACAACGCATGCACAGAAAATTTTATTTATGAGTTTGTGAAAATTCATCCTTATAATTATGAAAACTGGGTTGATCTAAAAATTTCTTTTTTGAGCAATTTAGAAGAGACTACAGAAGCTTTTCAAAATGAAGCTGAAATAGATAAAAATGAATCAAAATCTATAATTAAACCCGAGGACTGTACTGATATGGTTTCTGTTTTGAAAAAACTAAGTATTATAAAAGCAAATAAGGATAAAAACTTTGAAGCCAGTTTAGTTATAAATTTTGACGTCTACAACAGAGATGTTCAAAATTTTAGAAAGACAAACCCACCTATACCACATTTTAGAATAGTATGCATAGAGTAAGTATTAACTAGTTCCAAAATAATTGCTGTATGAGTAAAAGAAAACTCATTTTCTCTTTTCTTTTAACAAAAGTAGAAGTTTCTTCAATATCATGGAGCGTTTTTCATACATAAATTACACATAGACAATCATCCAGACCCAGAACAATTATTTGTAGGTCATACATTCATTCAATCACTTTGAACAAATACAGATTTTATTTATTGGCCTGTCTCAATGCGCTAACATATAACTCTTGTTCTATTTGTTCTAGGGAATCGTCAAGTTTTCCGTCTGGGGAGGAGGTAGCAACCTTGCACGCAAAATACAATGATTCGGTTTGTATTGTTTTCGCAATAGTTGGCGTTGGATCGATCTGCTATTTACAAATAAATCACACAGAATTACCAATGTATGTTTCCAGTGGTAATATAACGTAATTTCTCATCAAACATAGTTCACTTAGTCGACTTTGTAAGAAATGTAATATATTCAATAAAATGATCTGTTTATTTGTCTTAGTTTATTTATTACAATAACGCAACTTTATTTACCACCTTAATAATATGATAATGGTTTATTTAGCTATTTATTATAAAGCGATTGTATGGCACGTGTGTTAAAGGATGGCATAGTGCATTATAACTACCATTCTAACTTAAAAATATACCTATATTAGTTAATATGTTACGGCGGCTGTACACGCTCTTCTCGTCGCCTCGTGTGCCTCTCGTCGCGTAAAGGCTCAATACAAGCACACACCGTGTACACACTCGTATCATTTAAACTCCGTACGCCCGCTGAGATAGACCTAGATGAAACTGTAGCTGCGTTTTGCCTTTGAGTTATTATAATTTTTTACACATTTACTAAAAATAAAATTAATAAGCTATTGCGAAGAAAGAGATGGTGGATAGATTCTATTTACCGTAACAGTACCATGTACGGTGAATAGAATAGAGTACGCTCTCGTTTTCATCCCGGTACTCACGAGACCCTTTGACTCGAGAGCATAAAACGGACACGCTTCTGAGAGCACACGAGGATCACGAGACGCGACACGACGCGACGAGAGCACCGTGTACACACTTACTCGGCCTGTCTCGTGGTGTCTCGACGAGCGTGTACAGCCGGCATTACATTTTAAATATAACGTAGATAAAATTAAACACTATAAATTCACCTAACTAGTATTTCGTTTACGTACACAACCTTTGTTTTTAATACTTATAAACTATTCTTTCGTTGATCTAATAAACTTATGTAAATTAACAAATAGATTCCAGAAAAGGATTTATTGTATACATAAGTATTCTACATTTTGTGTTATAGAAATTAAATATATAATCCATTTATGTATTTAATATGTACTAAATAATATAATACGGTATTTTGTTTACCGTGGTATAAATAACATTACGGTTTGTTAGTGTAATTGGGCAGGTTACATATGTTATATGGTAGAACAGAAGTGACCACTACTGGGTAGACGTGTTATATAATGGAAGCAGTTGACAAAGTGTAGGACATTCCTACCTGGCTAAATCGATCATCGTCGTAAAGCTTAAGGTCAGATTAGGCACCGTGATTAGGAATAGACTGTCGCAGGCTGACTGATGCTCGATATGAAGTTGTAATCAAGTATACTCATTTATAAAGCGGCACGTCACAATATGTAACCGAAGTGCCTTGTACAAGGAGGCTATAAGAAATTTATTTACACGGAAAAAATAATCATTTTTCCTACCTGCATTTTCGACCCATAATATAGGTTTGAAATTATACACTTATACATCTAATATATCGCTAAATACAGTGTATATATCACGATATACAATAATAAAATACGGTGCAAAGTGCCACCATGACATTTTTATTTAGTCTATTATTAACTGAAGATCGTCACGCATGGTTTCTTGCTGGTTGGGAAGTACGAGGACAGAGGTTTTTTTTTATAAAACCGTGGCAAAAGAATTAATGAATTACAGCTATTCTTTTAATCTATCTTGAATAAAAATATTATATCTATCCTATTTTATTCTATATAAAAACAGCCGTATTATATAATTGTATTATTGAAGGAACTAGAATTTTAATGGATGATATTAAGATAGGAACTGTATGTTGTAGCTACAATATTTAAAATTAAAAGTAACAGACTAATACATAATTTTCACAGCACTGCTAGTATTCTTTTTTTTTTTGGTAAATACGACAATTGTGGTCGAATTCGACCGTAGCTGCTTTTTTCGTAAACCGCACAGAGCGAAGACGTAGTTACTAGCGTACTATAGTCCAATGGCGTATTCGTATTAAGTATAAAGTAATTAAAAGAGGCACTCACTTTTTAAAGACTTCTATAGCAGATTAATGGCTTTGGTGATACGGTCCTGTCTTAAAATAATTTGTTTTACAGTTACACTGGAAATATGATACTAGTATACTAGAAATAAAAGTAAATGCTAACGGTAACTTAGTTCCTAAATTCTGTCTTATGAGTAAAGTTATACAATAGAATAAGTAGCTCTGGTAGACTCAGAATTTAGGGAACATTACATTATAAAAAAATGCTGGGCATAGATATGTTAAGGCCCCTTTAGCTTGTATCCTTTTATCATTGATACAGCGGTAATTATTATATATATTTTTTATATTATTTTTTTTTTTTTTTACCGGGTTATACGTGGTATGGTTTAGTATAATAATAATATATACACAGCAGTTAAAAGTATAGTTGTAGCACGAAAGGGTAGGCTCGACCGGGGAAGGACCACGCTCTCACAGAATACCAATGTAAAATAGTAGCTTAATGCTGCTGTGTTTCGTATGGTGAGTGTAGAGAGCCGGAGACCCTTTTTATTGGAAACGAGGCATTCCATCTTAGTCCTCACGGGTGACAACGCATCTGCATTTTGATTCGTAATCGAGGATAAATGTAGACGTCTGTGGGCCACAGCAACCACTTACCATCAGGTGCACTGTGTGTTCGTTTATCATCCTTATCTAATATATAATATATATATAACTGAAATACCACTGACTGACTGACTCATCACGATATCTCTAAAACTATACACCCGATTGACTCGAAATTTAGTATAGTTACTTATTTCGCAAAGTATTTATTATAAAACTCATCAACGAGGGCTAATAATCTTCCGCTCACCAGATGTCGCTAGTTGACACTGAGGTGAAGTTTTTTGTTACACAATGGCATTTAATTGAAAAGTTAGTAAGAAGTAAGAAAAGTTAGTAAAAGTTTATCAGTTTCTAGAGTATTATATTACCTAATAAACAAAACAATGCCGGAGTAATTTGCTTGTAACTTTTAACTCTTTTTTTTTTAATTTTTCTACCTGAATATGTGTGGTTTTGTTTCTTTATTTTAAATGTAATTAATATAAAGCATAACTAATAGTACAAAAAAGAACATTAACCTTCACCAGTGGCGGATTTATCTGCAGGCTAAGTAGGCTGTATTCAATGGCAACTGAGGCTGCTGAATGTTATTCAAAATCTTGTCGTTTCTTTATGTTGCTTCAAGATATTTCTATATAAGTTCGACACAACGCAACGCTGGCAAAAAAAGAATGACTGATATCGAGAAAGGGAAAACGCTAAAGAGGGTAAATCTGACGCTTTGGTCAGCTAGAAAGGACGCATGTGGAAGTTTAGAGATTCTTGGTACGAAGTCCTTAAAACTTTGGAATTACTCAAGGATGATTGCAACGAAAAACCTGTAACGCGAAGCGAAGCGACTGGAATACTTTTGAATAATTTAGAAATACTGAAAATGGCGGTAATGGTTGTTGTGTGGATTTTTTTTGCAAAGAATAAATAAAGTGAATGTTCAAATTCGGGTTTCTATCGTAGATTTGATCACTGTTGTCGATCTCTACGAATCTCTGCAAGTTTTTGTAGCTAAACGAGAAAATTTTAAGTAAGCATTTCGAAGAAAAGGCGATGGTATTATGCGTGTTGAAGCAGTATGCAAAATACATGGAAAAATACAACTGAAAAGGAAAAAGAAGAAATCAAACACCCGATGAAGAAATGGAATAACTACGAATGATATTTTCGGGGTTAATAATATATTTCTCTTCCTCATTGATAGACTCGCTAGACGCCTCCAACACATTCGATGAAAAGTTTTAATTTTTTAGGAAAATTAGTAATTGTTATCATCAACTAGTACAGAAAAAGCCCTTTTCTTAGAAGAAATATTTTCTTATGATTAAGAGACTGATTTAGTTCAAGGATGCATATCTACATTTTCAATGCCACTTTTCTTCTGAAAGAATAAAAGTGAAACCTGATTCTTAATAATTGAAGTCTATCTTTGTTCTTGCGAAAAAAGAATTTGTAAAGCGTTTATCCAAACTTTGATGTGTCTAGCAATCCGTATAGCTATATGTAGACCAACTCAAATTATTCGAGTGAGAGATCCCTTTATGGCTGTAACGGGTGAAAAATTATCTAAGATGTACCATAAGCAAAAGAAAAAAAAAGGTAAAAGCCTTAGGTATATAGGGATTCTGTGCATTAAGTCGGCTAATGAACAAGATTTCTAACGACCATATAATTGATGATTTGGGAATAAAAACTCGCGCGAGACGATGTTGCAAAACTTTCATGATTTAATTTCTTGTATTTCATCACCATCAATAACCGGATTGTTACCAGATTTTTTTTTATAGAATATGATGACAAATTAGCACATGCTCCACTTAATTTTAAGTTGATGCTGTGGCACATAGATATCTAAATTTATCCTCGATTAAGAATCTAAATGCAGATACGTTTTTATCCCCTGAGGATTAAGATGTAATGCCTCGTATCCAGTAAGAGGGTTTCCGGTTCTCTTCTCTTTTTCTGTGAGTGCGGGAGCCTTCCCCTGTCGAGCCGACCCATTTATGCTACAACTATAATATAGCTTCAGCATGGATATATCACGTAAAATTAAATAATCTATTGTTTTCAAGTGTAAGCGCATTAAAAGTTATTCAATTACGTCTACCAAATGTAATTTGCATTAAATCATACCTTACTCCGCCTTATTAGTAGTATATGATTGGGCTTTTATTATGATTAAGAGTCAATAATATAACCAGAAAATATCTCTTGTGCAATCTCAATTAAATATTTGGGTTGTAAAAATAATCTAAGAAACTGACTCAATGATCTTCTAGTTGACAATCATACTAAACGGCAATAAGGTGGTGTAATTAGGACTATAATGCACAAGCAAAGACTTATATAATATTCTCTGTCAAAATTCATTGACAAAAAAAATTGTAGTGCATATGATTGTGAACGTATTGACTTGTAGAAGTCAATAGGGGCGGCAAAATTTGAATAGCCTACTGACGGCAAAGGTGTTAATCCGCCACTGACCTGTAGCTTCTACACTCCATACATCCCGCTATGTAAGCTGTCAAATATTACAGCATTTTTAAGTGGCGCCGCCCTGGTGGCAGAAAAAGTCGTGGATGCCCTCATACATCATCACGTCATAAATATTTTATTCCTCAGAAATACAAGTCTTCTTTCATGTTTTCCTTACAGCATAAAAATACGTAAATAAATTTCTTTAATTGTACACAACTTTTTAGTTATACACTAACATTTGATATTTCGCACGTGATATTTTAAATTATGTATCATCAATGAAGTCTTATCCTCTAATTTCTAAGCGTGAAATATTTCAGTCAATATTAGGTAGGTACATAAATAAAAAGCAAAGAATGTAAAATTTCTACAACAGTAGTTCTAAAAATTTTTTTTCAAGGCCATCCAAAGTTTATACCAGCCAACTCGTAAAACCTTTCGTTAAAGGGCCTGTAATATTCCCTAAGCCTTTCGATGGCAACCGGATCGATGAATGGATGACTGCGGCCTTTAGTCTTGCCAAGACAATGTGGTGTAGATTGACCCTCAGACTTCAAAAGGCACGGGAAACCCTTAGAGGAGTTGAAATAGAAATGTTTTTCTGTTATTACCTGCTTCAGGCCCAGAAATTTCTGAAAAAGAAAAACGTTTATATAGGTAATGTATTAATTGGAAATTGTCCTGGGTTAAACACCTATCAACAAATATTTTAAGTTCAGAATGCGTTGTAATTAGCCTTATCTTCTTTTTATTTTAAATACCGTATCGATTTAAAAGTAATTAAATAAGGATAATAAAGGTTACCAAAAACTTAATAATAGACTGGGGCCCTACGCAATGTGCTGTAAAGAGGCAACTGCTCCGCAATAACATTTTTTTTTAAATAGGTTAATCTAAGACACATTATTGCGTTATCATCATAGCCTATCAAAAGTCCACTGCTGAAGATATAGGCGTAGATTGCCTCATAGGGGTGTGGCCGTGAAGGCAAAGGGGAGATCTCCCGCCGGGCAAGGTGTTCTGCCCGGGGAGCGGCTCACACTCCGTGTGATAATTCGGAGATGTTCTATATATACTGTTTATGATTCGGAATGTTGATAGCGCGATTTAGGCTTCGGTGTGTTTTCGCTTGTGGCGGCGACGGCAGCGCCGCTACATCACCCCCTGCTCAGACCGGAGGTCGTTAGTGCAGCCTTGTTGCCGAGGAATGTGCAAGTGCCAGTGGATTGCCTTGTAGTCTGCGGTGAGTCGAGAAGAAGGCAAGTAATCTGCGAGAGTGCCGTGAAGCAGAGGCGAGCAGTAAGGCTCAGAGCCGTGCCGAACACTGTATAGCGCAGAGAGTAGCTTGAAGGAACAGGAAGCATTATTATTCCAATGCTGCGATGAACCTTGTGAAGCTAGATGGCTTGCAGGATATGAAGACTGCAGACGATATCTGCTCGGGAGCGATACGGTGGGGTATTCAATGACGATGATGAAGCTTGAAGTTTCCGAAAGTTGTTGGTTGCGTGTTCAGATCACGTCGGGGTCACCACTGTGGCCGTAGTAGGAAAAGGGGAGATCTCCCGCCAGGCAAGGTGTTCTGCCTGGGGAGCGGCCGACACTCCACGTCGTCGGGGTCACCACTGTAATAGTGGAGACGAACTGTCCACTATTAACAGACTCCGAGTGGTTTTCTTTAAGGTGGAGAAATGAAACTACTGTTTATGTTTATGAATGTACTGTCGAATGGGATTCGGAATGGAATATATTTTGCATCAACCTTGCCTATATTTATATGGCTGGCTCACCATTGGTCGACGGATACGTGACGATAGCGGCGTGTGAAGTCGGTGTGGCGCTGAATGATATTTGCGGCTGCTTCTTGTTTCTTTATAAGAACGTCAAATTATCTATATACAGTCCGCAGTATCTCAGTAGCCAAGAATAATTAGGAAATAAAATGTTTTTTTTATTTATTCTCGCCTTCCGCGTTATGGTAGCAGCGGAGTATATATTATTTATTCCCGTTTCGGTTTGATTAATCTGGCTGCTACAGGGGAAATATTAGCCATAGCTGCTACGGTTGGGGAACGCAGATTTTAAAAACTTTTATTTGACTTCACTTGTGTATATATGTCCCCGAATTAAACAATCTCTATCTGGCTAAAAATTTGCACACACGTTTGGTTCTTGGGATAATGCATGATTAATTAAATGCCGCCATTTTTCATCCAATATGGCGGACGTTACAAAATAGCGATTTATCACTTCCACAGCAACGCCTATGATATGGGAATCAAATAAAAGGAATTGATGAGCAAAACACAATAACAGTGGGTGCGTTTGGCAGAAAAAAGCGCTAGCAAGAAGTTATTTTGATCGCTTGGGCGCCTCATGAACTTGAGTGGCTGTCGTCGTCAACTGTTCGCTGGGTTGAGCTGCTGTCGTCAAAAATCAAAATCTCCTAAGGGTTTCGCAATGTGACGCATCAGCATATTGTGAAGAAAAAGAATATAAAATTGAAGATTCCGAAAGAAATGATAGGCTCAGAAGGGCTAGAGCCCAGAGCCGTAAAGCCAGTTAATAAAAAAATCAAATATTGATTATAATATTATATATATCATAATCGCGTCGAATCGCGTAGACAGAGAATCCTCAGAGGGTTTTCTGACTACGATTAATCGCTTATATGTCATATATAAAAAGTACTCTGTGCATCATATCAAATTGTAGACAGAGAAACATAATAAGAATTGACAAATTGACGCCTTCTTTTGCATTCGCACACGAAAAAGATTGGGTGCGTTTGGCAGAAAAAAGCGCTAGCAAGCGCTTATAAGCGCTGAAATAGTTTTCGGCCAGGACACGATTGCTACTTCAGTAGCGCTGACACAATCCGCCATTTTGCTTATTTAATTTGTTTGTTTTGAAGTAGAGTTTATAAGTTGTTTTGTGCAATATTAGTTTTAAGTAATATAATGACATGAATAAACATATACATGCTATTAAAAATTCATGCTTGGTAATTTTTTAATATGAATACTTTACAAATATATATTTAAATTAGGTTAGGTTCCCCGGTTAAAACTAACATCGTGTCCTGGAGGAAAATAGCTACTTACGATTTAATAGCGCTTACTGCTTACGATCGCCATTTTGCTTACAAGCGCTTGCAAGCGCTTTTTTCTGCCAAACGCACCCATCAGTGACTTCATTCTTAATCCAATATGGCGGACGTCACAAAATGGCAATTTACCATTTCCAAAGTAACCCCTATACAAATACAATAGGTATCAAATGGAAGGGCTTGAGGAGAGAAACACAATAAAGTGTGTTCAATAAACATTCTAAATCCAATATAGTGGACGTCCAATGTCACTATGCATTAGTATAATGACGTATAGTTGATCTAATGATGGAGCTGAAATGTAACCACGGCTAAAAAGGTGGAAAACAAAATGGCTGCCATATCAATTTTAGTAGGAGTTATAACTCGGCAAAAATTAGGGATAGATTGCTGGTGCTCGAACAAATGCTGTAGTGCAACAAGGGTCAGGTAATGTCAAATGCAGGCAATAAAAATATTCAAGATGGCGGACCTAAGTTGATGATCAAGAACTTAGTTGCTCCAATCCGCCTGCAATTTTGTTATCCAGGGGTTTTTGAAGTCCTTGATTACGATTTTGGGTCGAATTGTATTTACAACTGAATTTTAAAATTACGCCTAGCTTAGTGACATCATTATAAATCCAATAACGTTGACTGACCAAGATAGCAGACTTGTTCTTTTTTTATACACTCCAGAAACAGAAACAGAAACTTTTTTATTCAGTGTAGATTATAACAATACTTATTGAAAGTCACTTTTTTCATTTACCACTGGTTCGCAAAAAAAATCTGTCCTGGGAAGAACCAGCAAGAAACTCAGCGGGACTATTTTTTTGCAAATAATAGCTTACAATCATGTTTACAATTTACAACACAAGACAAATTAGAAATAGCTTGGTAGCGATCACCCTTCCCAGGAGTTATTATCATCCATAAATTCCTTACATATTCCTTACACAATAACTTTTTTGAACTTTGTGTATGACAAATTTTGTATATTTTCTGGGATTTTGTTGTAAAAGCGTGTACATCTCCCCAAGAATGAATTACTGACTCTGAAGTACTACCGCCATCTATTATCAAATAGAAAAAATACATTTTGCCTTTACTTACTACTATAATACTTACTTAATATATATGTATAATATAAAATATAACTGAATGATTTATATTTATATGTTAAAATAATGAGATTTATAAAATTGTTTAAAAATGCGAACGTTTATTTTTTAGCTTTTTCGTTATTTCCTTTTGAAAGTGTAATAATTTAAATAGATAATATAGTGTCGCTTATAAAAAATATGAACATTGATATGGTTTTTAGTTCAATTACTAACGTATGTGTAAACTGATTTAAACTGGTTTAAACCTGCAATTATTGCAAAATTCTCATATCTTAAAGTAGACTGACATTTCGTGACATAATAGTAGTAATTTAACACTATTTGTTGACCATGATGTCATATAATATAGCTTGTCCGAATCAATGAATAGATCTTTTGACGATATTAAACTCCAATAAATAAACAACATTGCTGTTTCATGATATTATGAATATTGTCAAATAGTTTTTCACTGCTAGCGGCGCTGATAGCATTTAGTATATTATAATACTCGTGGTTCGTGGCATCGTAGCGTTGGCTCCAATCACGCCAAAGCTTTGTGTCAGTTTTCATGAATTTTATTTAAACATCTACGCGAGCCATGTAGCAGAACTAGAACATGTAGAGATAGGTAGCAAAACGTGTACGATTCCCTCGAGGACAAATGAATCTGTTATAGGAAATTTTACGTGTTGATTTATCACGTGTCCGATGAAGTGGTGAACGATAACTTCTATGTGAGTGTGGTTCTTCCCGCTCTTTCACTATGAATAGAACTTCATTTGGAATAAACCTAATTATAAGCATTTTAACTTTTAATTTTAAACTTATTTTTAATACTTTACATCACTTATAGTCACGGGGGAGGGGGGACTGGGGTGTTTGACGTCCTGATGTTATAATTAACGAAGGCTATAAGCCTTGCAATAGTATTCCTGGGTTTACATTTAATTTTAGTAATTATGGGTTCCCAAGCAGATGGTAGCACCCAGACATGTCCTCTGTTGAAATCAGGATTTTTTTTAAATTTCAATAGCCTCGAAAAATCATCCTTGGTAGGAATCGCGGTTCTTTTGCGAGGATTTATGGTCTATCAGATATGATATAATGGTTGGGACGATATTGAACATATTTCAGACTTCCTGGAGCTTCGGTGGTTCACATCAGCGATATGTTATTTTACACGGGTTTTAAGGGATGTTTCATCCAAAGATACGTATAAAAACCCACGATAAAAGTTTAATTTTATTCCATGTGCAGTATTCGCGTGAATATAAGAAATCATTATAGAACTTAATGTATGAAGTTTTGCAGTCTACTCGAACGTAAAAATAAAATCATCCTTTACTTTATGTTGCCAATCAATATTACATGGGACCAATAATATGAATCAAATATGGTAAATAAACGTCATACCGTAAATTAATAGATGACAATGAAATTAATCAATATATATATATATATATATATATATATATATATATATATATATATATATTATAAATCAATGAACGCAATTATGAAAAACTTATTTATTCACGTGTTCCTATAACATATTATATCTATGCCAAATATCAATCATCTACGTTCAATAGTTTAAAACGGGTATTTGATGAATATTGCATTTGAACTGAACAACATCTATTAATGTTGCTAAATTAAAACCTTCACGCGAGCGAAGCCGCCGGTAAAAAGCTAGTGTCATGTAAATTATGTGGTGTAATAAATTGATGGGTTTGATTTAATTTAAATTCTTTTGGAGCATTTATATTAAAGCTTGTTTTTAAAAATGTTTTTTACTATTAATTTACTTATTGTAGTTTTGCTGTTATTAAAAAAAATCTGCTGCCCATTTCCTTTCGCAGTTTCTATCTGTCGCCTCTTACGACACCCACGGGAAGATATGAGGTAGTGGATGTTGCCAATACCTCATGTCTTCCCGTGGTAATTGTTTATAATATGTTTAATCCTATAATGTACCTACCAAACATTTCGATATTATTAAAACAGATACTTCCATTCCCGCAATTTAATTTAAAAAAATTAACGATTAGACATTAATATTACACTCATAACTCTAGGAGGTCACAAGGTCTTTATGGTAGCTCTCATTGTCAACTCTAACCGACGCAGGATAAAAAAGGGTGATGGATTGGCTATGAACTGCCACGACACGGAAATATTATAGCCACTTATGCTATATAATATCAAGCTATGTTTTCAAACCCTTTTTTCCTCACCTGCACCCGTGCCATTTCTGCAGCAGGGTCAGCAACCAATCTTTCGCCGCTGATGAGCAAAAGTCTTGAGCGTGGAAACCGACGGAGCCATCGTCTAAGCGGTCTGGCATAAACACCCAGTCTCACTGGCGGCCACGAAGCGTCCACTACTGACCAGGTCCCGCCCCAACCCACAGTGCTGTTGACTAAAGCTAAATCTTCAAAACGTGGGAGCGTCGGCCGTTTGCTTTAAGTCAAAGTTAAGTTTTAGTTATTATGGTGCATATTATACAACACTTGATTGATTTTTTTTGTGCAAAATATAACATATTGTTATATTATTATTTTTTATAACCACTAAACATTTTAATATCATAGAAATACGACACTGAGCCTATGATCGGCAATGAAGGAAATTCGCGTGTCATCACAAAAACTACTCTGTGCATCATTCGGTAGAATCTAGTTAGTCTGTGGTGACATCTCGCAATTTAAAATTAAAAACAAATATATTCCGAAAAAAATACTCTCTTCTAGGACAGTAGTGTAAAAATTGAGACTTGTAAAATCATAATGATGATATTCATATTCTAAAGTATAATCGTATTGATTTTTTGCAACCTCCCTCGACTCTGCTGATTCATCGGATTTTTCTTAAACATATTGATATTTCTCCACAATGAACTCTCTAATAATATTTATGTATAGGTCATATATGTATAGTTTATTTATTAGTAAAATGTATATATTATGTAGTTAATTATTATTTGTTTTGTGTTCTTTTATTCTATATTGTCACACCTACGTCAAATCTTCACCACTCCATGGGTTGACTGGTAGAAAATCAGGCATTTAAGTTCGCCCTTTATATTCTTTTGTTTTAACGAATCCAATAAAGAATAAATAAATAAATTTGAGGTACAGTTCAATGTAACACGCTATATATCATAGATATATTAAATAGACGACCTTATGAAATCCGCGGGAAAACCATCAGATGCAGGATTTTAAGACTAGTATGTTTAGGTAAGGACCTAGTTCAGACGTGGACATGTTGTAGACTACAACGATAGTAATTCAACACGCCATATTTACGTAAAATTGCTTCCTTCAGCAGGGATGGGAGATATGATAAGGATGTAGAACGACGAGTTAACGCAGAAAGTTAAGTAAATGGGGCTCTACACTCTATTGTGGAAATTCAGCATGTGTCAAAAAAGGCACGTATGTCAATTTACAATGCTGTGTTAGTCCCTACTTTAATGTATGGTAGTGAAAGTTGGGTTTGGCAGAAGAAGCACGAGAGTAAAATAAACGCAGTAGAAGTGCGGCCGTTAAGGAGTATGTTAGGTCCGAATTTGAGTGACAGGGTGACAAAATTGTGTGATAAAAGAAGAGTGTGGTTTGCAAGATGATGTTGTGACCAGGATTAAGAAAGGAATGGTTCGGTGGTATGATCATGTAGAAAGAATGAATGAGGAAAGAGTGTCAAATATAAATTTATGTTTTTTTTTTTTTTTTTTTATTATATATTAATATGCAGAATTGAACGGAAGAGTCGGAAAGGGACGTCCTAGGCGAAAGTTTATCGACCAAATTGGCGATATATTTAAAATGGGCCAAATTAAGTGTACCCTTAACCGACAAGCATGTATGTATATGTAAAATTTTGTGGATATGGAAGAGGCGAGAGAGCTGTGTCAGGATCGTGCCAAATAGACGTGAGTGTTTATGATGATATGATAATGATATGCTACCTTCTCAGATCATCTTTACATACATAGTTTTTTTATAGGATCAGGGTGACCAACGAGCACACAGTTCACCTGTTGGTAAGTGGTTGCTGTTGCCCGTAGAAATCTACATATATCCTTAACTACGAATCGAAAGGCACTTGCGTTGCGTCACCCGTGAGTACTAAGGTGGAATGACTTGTTTCCAGTAAAAAAGGTCTCCGGTTCTCTACACTCACCATTCGGAACACAGCAGCGTTAAGGTGCTATTTTACGCTGGTATTCTGTGAGACTGTGGTCCCCCTCCGGTGGAGCCGACCCATTTGTTCTACCACTATACTACTAATATAGCTGCAGCATCGCTTATCACGTAAACGTTACCTTGCAGACTGTGTATAGTCGCTAATTGCTCTCGTAACCGGGTCTCGAACCACGACCATTAGCCGCACTGTAGGATTCATGGCATACACTCTTCGTGGCGCAGATCGGGTCACCCAGTACGATGGTGTTTTTTCCATTGTTATTTGACCTTCCAACGTTGGTGGCATTTTCTCTCTGCGTTAAGAATAGAACCAAAAATATACTTATTATCTATTTTACTCAGTAAAGTTAAAAAATTGCTGATTACATGCGTCCTACATAACATAAACACTCACGCCTGCCACCCAGAGGGGGTAGGCAGAGACTACAGACTTCCATTTGGCACGATCCTGACACACCTCTCTTGCCTCCTTCACATCCATACACCTACGCATACATGCTCGTCGGTTAAGGGTACTCCTAATTTGGCCCGTTTTCAATAAATCGCCAATTTGGTCGTAAAATTTTCGCCTAGGACGTCCCTTTCCGACTCTGCCATTCACTTCTGCACCATAAATTTTCTTTGTCACTCTTTCCTCATTCATTCCTTCCACATGACCAAACCACCGAAGCATTTCTTTCTTAATCCTGGTCACAACATCATCTTGCAAACCACACTCTTTTATTACACAATTTCCTACCCTGTCATTCAGATTCAGCCCTAACATACTCCTTAACGACCGCATTTCTACTGCGTTTATTCTACTCTCGTGCTTCTTCTGCCACACCCAACTTTCACTACCATATGTTAAAGTAGGGACCAACACAGCATTGTGAATTGCCATACGTGCCTTTTTCGACACATTTTGACTCTTCACAATAGAGTGCAAGGCCCCATTTACTCTATTTACCTACAATTGGACAAAAGCATATCATTTCTGGGAATGTTTTGAAGCCGGACAGAAGGAAGAAGTGTTATCCTACTATTAAATTTCACAAATACCTACTCGAAATATTTTAACATTTCGTTACGATGTTTTTCTTCGTAGGTAGGTACATGATATTTCAGCACTAAAATCGTGATGTACATTTTCGGTTGCATCTGGGATCAAACCAAAACCTCGCGCAATGTTTACCGATGTCTTTACGTGCCGGTCAAACCATTGCTATATATAAAATCAATAAAATCAACGTTACCAAAGTATTCGTGACATATCATTGAGATAAAAAGTCATTACCAATCATATTTACAGTTTTATATTAGCGTTAACGATTGTAGGAAGTCATTTTGGCAGCACCTGAACCTACCAGTCGCTCACTCAGTATTTTGGTTGTTCATTAAGGGGTTAGTAAAATTTAAGTATAGATTGTAGAGCCAGTAGACCGCGTAGAGGCGGTGTAAGAATATCCGCTACCCCATGTCAACCCTGGGTGTCGCAAGAGGCGACAGATGGAAATGAATCAGGAGACGGGCAACAGCGTCTTCCTAATGACGACTAAAAACAAAAAACTGCGGTTTTTTGTTTTAGTCGGCAAACATCCCCCCTATAAGGCAATCTGTGGGCTATGTTCAGCAATGGACTTATACACTGTAGCGGTAAAATTTAAGTATGCATTATGAATATTATTGTTTTCCACTTTTGTCGTTATTAATCAACATTTAACAGGCAAGCTCAAGTTAGTATTAAATATAGAATGACATTATCAGTCAACAACAATTTATTTATTTAGTCATTTGATATTTTCCTATTTCCATAGAACATATGGGGATAGAGCCATGGTAGCTCAGACACTGGCGCTTTGTAAATTTCACAGTACGCGAGCAGCTCGAGTTTGACCCCGCCGGCACCAATGAAATTGTTAATTGCAATATTAAGTGCTGATTTACTACATACTCGGCGGTGAAGGAAAACGTCGTGAGGAAACCGGCATGTCTAAGAAATAAGGAAATTTTTTTTCAAAGACATGTGAAGTCAGCCAACACGCATTGGGGCAGCGCAGCAGGCATTTACTTGCCCTAAAACCCTCTCAGCAATGAGATGAGGCCTGGGCCCAGGAGCGGAATCAACTTTATCTTTTAACCGAACAAATTATTTTCATTTGTAATTATACTTTATAAATATATAAATTAACATTTCCCATAAATAGGTTCCAACCAGCCATTTTAATGACATCACAGGGATATGATTAAATGTTACATTTAGAAACATTATTTGTTCGACAAGTCAAATGGAATGCAGAAACACTTGACCAGTTGTTTAATAGAAATAAATTAGAAAATCATATACATCCTTACTATATTTAAACGAGGAAACTATTTATCCAATCTTAAAATGGTACAAATAACCTACCCACATAATCAAAGTATCACGATACTGTATCTTTACAAATCTTACGAGTTAGATACTCGTACCTGTGTGTTTGTTCGTCTCATACCTATTAAAATATGTCAATATTTAATAACTGCAACAGCTTCTTCATCACCTGAATAGTAGGTTCCGTAGACCACTCAAAAATTGGGGTAAATGCCATATTTGCCATGTTACTCCTAGAGTTACTTTTCTTAGATGATGAGAGAGATGAGATATTCTTGAAATTACTTATTGATCACCAACGAAATATTAAAAAATATTCCGTGGGTCGACCCTTCGGATATTCTGTGGACCTGGCATCCAATGGGATTACGTAGTCTCTAATCCTCGTCACCATACGGCATCATATAATGACTAGATTACTTGACTTATGTATTTAATATAAATGTTGCCTATTATTTTCTTTACCATTTTTATTCTTTAGACATAGCCAAAGTTTTTACAATACCATCGCTCAAAGGATAGCGTATAATAAGCGCGCTTAATTATACTAGCCTGGAACATATTTTTTAAATATATAACTTCTAACCTGTACCACTGGAAACCCTTATGGTAGAACTTATCAAAGAAATGGACTTCCGATCCAGCAGCCCTCACATCGGGATGCACCCTGTAATTTAAAAAACAGTTTTCAAATAACGTTTATTTTAAAACCATTTAAAATATCGGCCTATAGATGCCAATATCAGATTATTGCCTGTAATATTTAACTGATTATTGGTTTAGGTAACGTTGTCAAAGCCAGGATCAATCTTTTTTATTGTATATAAATTATCTTACTTTATATAAGACAGCTGCGAAACCAGGCCTTAAAATTATAATACCTGACTGAAACCCCAAACAAATCCACCATTTGTCCAAAAACACAAATTTTTGATTTTGTTGCTACATCGGTATGAGCATTAGGGCGGGCATGGGTTAGTTAGGTGAGTGCTTCTAGGTTAGCAGGTACAATTTTAGTAAACGTACTAAAATATCTCCTGCGCAGTTGATAGAGCTACCGATAGTAATAATTTTCCAATTTAGTCGAAATAGATCAAGAAAACATCATCATCAAAATCGCATAGTGCCGCAGTCTACCTGTATTTGAGTACTGATGGAAGGAAGATAAGAAGAAAGAACTTAGAAAGCCTGCAATAAAATTTGATAGTTTACTAAACGCGTAAAATGTGCTAACGTTTTTTGTGGTAAAGCCATGCTACAGCTAAAGGCTGTAAGACGAATAGGTCGTTTTGACCGGGGAAGGACTACGCGGAATAACACCAGCGTAATAAGAATAACAACGTGAAATAGCAGCTTAATGCTGCAGTGTTTCGTATGGTGAGTGTAGAGCCGGGGACATAAACGCAGCATTCCATCTTAGTTCTCAGGGGTGAAAACGCATCTACATTTTGATTATTAATCGATGATAGATGTAGATATCTATGGGCCACAGCATCCACTTACTATCAGGTAGATTGTGAGCTCGCTCTTCACATTTAAAAAATATATTTTTCATCTTACATTCTCATTACTGGTAGAAATTCAACTCTTAGCTCTAAAGACGGCTAAGGTCTACTCACTGATCACTAACATAAGACGTCTTTAAGTGAAATGTAATACCTAGTTACTATTAGCAACCAATTTCTTATCAGTTGATCCTAGGTGTTGGAGGATAGTGATCATGTAACATCTGACCGACTAGGGCGACAAACAAGCACACAGTCTACCTGATGGTAAGTGGATGCTGTGGCCAATAAGCATCTACATCTATTCTCGATTAAAAGTCAAAATGCAGACGTGTGTGAAACTGCTATTTGACGCTGGTATTGTGAGACTTAACCGGTTATTTGTTGAGAAGGTGTTTATAGCTATTCTAGGATTCGATAGGTTGCGCTCACAGAAATCGCAATAATACTATTTCTGTGGTTGCGCTGTAGTCAAGTTATCAACAAATTCTACATTAAGGGGAAATATAATGTCAAATGGCTTAGTAAGATCCTTCGTTATGCCGAAAATATTGCAGCATTAATTTTTAAATAAATATGTGGTAAAGTTGAGGATTAATGTTAGTGATTATGTTAGACGAAAACACGATTTCGTAAAATTTTCTCGATAGAAATAAAATCCAAAGTTACCTCCAAAATAAATATTAAACCGCTGTTATTCATAAAATACTTTAAATAAGATCATGAAACTTTGCATACTAACTGAACTAACTATAAAGCAGTGCTTATGTTATTTACTTTTTTTTAAATACCATTATTTTCACTGTAAAAAGAAATTAACTAAACTATCGGCGTCTTGAGCTTGATTCCTGTCGTTCAGTTAGTATCGCTTAGGCTTTTGAAGGGAGAAGTTGTGTCGCTTACGATCAGAATATACATTACGCAACAGTACGACGTAAAATTAAAATGGGAAATAACCGTGATAAAAATAAGAAGCGGCTGGCTTGGCTTTAAGAAACAGGCATAAATATGATAAACCTAATGAAATAAGTGTCTAACGACCTTTCTACTTACAGTATTAGTGATTACAAATATTTCGGTACATAACATACGACGCGCGGGGAAGTGGGGGCGAAATTAGAATTTGAGCTGACTTACTCTAACCTCTTAATGGACCAAAAAGACTCGTGTTCACAATACATGTTTGATTATTGCTAAAAAAGAAAATCACTAATTCTGAGCTCAGTAGGTAACGCTGTGGTAGAGTTTATATATAGACTGTATATTATCCATATACAGAGTGTATTGGTGGTGAAACTCATCGCGCCATGTAACAGAAAGATAAGAAAAACGTCTGCCGTGGCAGCTAGTATGACTGCTGCCTTTATGGCCTAACCGGATAAGTACGAACGTTAATACCGAGATGTTGGGGTTTAAAACCCCACCCTTCTTACAGGTTTATTTTTTACGTGGTAGGGCCACGCTGCTGCTATATTATAGTTGTAGCATGAATTGGTCAACCGGGGCAGGACCACGCTCTCACAGAATACCAGCGTAAAATAGCAGCGTAATTCTGCTGTGTTTCGTATGGTGAGTGTAGAGAACCGGAGACCCTTTTTACTGGAATCGAGGCATTCCATCTTAGTCCTCAGAGGTGACAACGAATTTGCATTTAAGGATCAAAATTGAGGATAAATGTGGATGTCTATGGGCACAGCATCCACTTACTATCAGGTGGACTGTATGCTCGTTGTCACTTAGTAGGCAAATTTTTTTAGCATTGCTATAAAAAATTAGCCTACTAAGTCTTTAGAGCTACTTCACACGGCAAGCAGTTAGGTATGAGTTAGTTATTCTATTATCCGTAGGTCATCACAAATAACACATACTACTATTTTAATACGTAGATACTTTTAATACGTAGGTACACTGAAAGTTATCCAGCCTTTCTCGAATGCTGCTTGGTACAACTTGGTTAATCGTGCTGACTTAAGGGGAAATATAATCTCAAATGGCTTAGCAAGATCCTTCGTTATGCCGAAAATATTGCAGCATTAATTTTGAAGTAAATATATGGTAAAGTTGAGGATTAATGTTAAGGATTATGTTAGACGAAAACACAATTTCGTAAAATTTTCTCGATAGAAAAAAAAATTCAAAGTTACATTATAAAATACTTTAAATAAGATCATGAAACTTTGCATACTAACTGAAATAACTATAAAGCAGTGCTTATGTTATTTACTTTTTTAAAATACCATTATTTTCACTGTAAAAAGAAATTACCTAATCTATCGGCCTTTTGAAGCGTGATTCCTGCCGCACGGTCACTTCTTCCTATATTATAAAAAAGTACTCTGTGGTCACTTCGCTTCGGCCTTTGAACGGGGAGGTTGTGTCGCTTACGATCAGAATATACATTACGCAACAGGACGACGTAAAATTAAAATGGGAAATAACCGTAATAAAAATAAGAAGCGACTGGCTTGGCGTTAAGAAACAGGCATAAATATGATAAACCTAATGAAATAAGTGTCTAACGACCTTTCTACTTACAGTATTAGTGATTACAAACATGTCGGTACATAGCATACGACGCGCGGGCAAGTGGGGACGAAATTAGAATTTGAGCTGACTTACTCTATCCCGTTAATTAGCAGAGGTCTTATTCAGAGCCTTACATAAAGGGTAGTTTTCGTTTTCTTCCCATCCCTGCATATGATTCGAAAGCTAAACGCTGGAGCCATCCGTAACATTTCTTAAATTTCCAATACTATGGTGCAAATAACGACGTATGGTATTTTTATTTCATTTGTTTTTCGAATTTTAAAATGGTTACATAATATACGTAATATTTTTTTAAAGAAATTATTTACAAATTATTACTTTGCAGAAAATGTTATATTTATATATTTTAACGTATTAAAAGAGCTGACTTATTAGTTAGTGTACCTGACCACTGTCAAGCTACATATGTTGGTTTTTAGGTAGTGGATTTTGGTTTCGAATCTCAGTTGGAATTGAAATTTGTGTTATGCAAAAATATTGCGGGATATGATAAATATGATCGTTCCCTTGTTCCGAATTCCGATCTTATCGCGCATATGCGTTACGTAGAATTTTGGAATTTATATAACGTTTTATATAAAAGCTGTAAAGGGAATATTAGAAGTATTAAAATTGTTTAAAAAAATTTAAGTAGAAAGCAGGTGTGCGTATTGATACTTGATACTACATCATGTGTTGCCTTATACATGTTGATGACATCCGATAATATTTTATAGATCAAATTGTATGTCCGCATATATAAATTGCAGATGGACAATCATCCAGACTCGAAACATTAATTTGTAGTTTATACAAACACTTGTTCTGTGCGGAATTTGAACCCGAGGCCCCACAGTGCTGCAACTAGCTTAGTCATTGCGTGACCGAAAAATAAACAAAACAATAAGCCTATTTAAATGTAATATGTAATGTAAATAAATAGATAATAGCACAAAGCTTGGTGAAGAGAAGCTACACGCATGATAGATACAGTTGTCTGGTAGTGCACTATTCCTATATACTCGTAGGACAGTTTTTATACACATTGCGGCATTAATCCGTTTGCATAATGATTGCGACAACATCTTTAAATCCATCGAAAATTTCAATCCAATCCAAAATTCGTATAAGCATAATATGTATGATAACACACGTTAAGAATTTTCACACCAAATATATGTTAGTAGGCAAATATAAAATAAAAAAAAATAAAACAAAAAATTTATTAGAAATTACTTCCTGTAAATTCATAGACGAATTTCATAAATAATTTTAGTTGATAGTGTTAACTTAAAAAAATATATCTTACCTTAAAAACTCCAACAGTGCGCGTGTTCCACATTTCTTAACACCAATAATCAAGGCATCTGGCAGTCTCTTAATGGGCACCAAAGTCTGTTTTTTCAGTCTCCTGTATTTATTTTCAAAGCTGTCTTCTGCATTATATCCAAGAAGTGAGACAAAGCGCATCGTTGCACTTTTGTAATTTGATATGTGATGCGTTTTTAAAAAAGACTTAAGACTAAACTAAAAATATATGTTTATGAATTATAAGTATAATTTATTTTTTATTTTATAGCTTCATAATTTCATTAAAAAAAAAACATTTACTCACCTTTTCTTCGTCAACTGAACAGGTATTCAAAACATAAAATAAATAAAATAGAAATAATAATATGAAATATATAAATATAGTTTGTTTCGAAAAAGCCGGACAAAATTTCATTGCTTTTCTTGGCAAACATTGGCACAGTTTTGTTGCTGCTTCAATATCAGAGATTTTCCCTTTACTAATTATTTGCAGCTATTTATTTAATATAATAGGTATATATCCAGTCACATAAAATTTTCACGTGGTTTTATTTAACTCTAACTTATGATCTAACGGCGTGTAATCACTGCGTTTACTTATCATTTTCTGTAGCGACTGGAGGAATCCCAACGCGCAAACTCCAAATTATGCTGTAGCGAAGATACGCCAATGAGAAGTAAAAAGCCTAACAGGTTACAATACGCATAGGCGTTTCCTGCATTTTAAATTATCTAACACATAATTTTGTGCAATTATTATAAAGCATGTATTAAAAATTTTATTTGTATTATTACAACGTGTACTATTGTATGCTATATATCGAAAATAATTGAAGTTTTAATTATTTTTAATCATAATAACCATTTCTTTTTTGCGGTAAATTTTTAATTATTACCTATTTTGCCTAAAACAGACCAGATATGATCACCAAGTTATTACCTTTTCGCTATCTACTTTTATGATATTTTGGCGTAATTTTATCAATAGTGCTTTCGGCTAATTTTGACCTTTTATTTCTCTAATAATCTTTTTTCCAGTTACTTTAAGGTATTGTATTGTGTCTTGAATTTATCTGACAAAAATAATAATTGCTCTTGCAGTTTAGGGACTCGTTTCGCAGAACACCATCTCCTAAAAGCTCTTTTACTTCAGTTTATTTACTTTATGTATTTCGTATTGATATATATTACATTAAAAAAATGTTCAGCGAAGTAGTCAACTGCTGCTAATCATATGTCCAAATACTCAAACGCATTTCAATTTTAAGATGTTATGTCTCATGGCGTCACAGTCACTTTGGTTCAAATTGATAGAGACAGCATGATACTTAAGTATTGCGCAGCATTTGAGTACCTATTTGTGCAATAAACGCGTAAATCAACGTGTCGGTAGTACTATTATTTATTCTGTGGTATCGGCACTGGTTCAGGCGGCAAGAGATTCAAGGGAGCTTACAGATTTTTTTCACTTTCGACTTAAGGGGCTATACTACCTTAAAGGGCTTAGCAAGATCCTCCGTTATGCCGAAAATATTGCAGCATTAATTTTGAAATAAGTATATGGTAAAGTTGAGGATTAATGTTAAGGATTATGTTAGACGAAAACACGATTCTGTAAAATTTGCTCGATAGAAAAAAAAAGCCAAAGTTACTTCCAAACGGAACAATAAACCGTTGGTATTCACAAAATACTTTAAATTAGATAATGAAACTTTGTATGCTAACTGAACGAACTATAAAGCAGGGCTTGTGTTTTTAATTTTTTTTAATGACCATTATTTTCACTGTAAAAAGAAATTACCTAAACTATCGGCTTTCTGAAGCTTGTTCTCCCCGCTCAATCTCGCGTCGGGTTTCGAACGGGAAAGCTGTGTCGCTTACGATCAGAATACACATTACGTAACAGTACAACGTAAAATTTAAATGGGAAATAACTGTAATAAAAATAAGAAGCAACTAGGTTGGCGTAAAGAAACAGGCATAAGTATCATAATCCTAATGAAATAAATAACTAAGGACCTATTTACTCACAGTATTATTGATTACAAACATGTCGGTACATAGCATAAGACGCGCGGGGAAGTGAGGGCAAAATAAGAATTTTAGCTGCGGTAGTATATGCCCTTAAGTAAAACTATCAATTATATAAAAAAAACTATAAAAAAATTCTTACTACTTCATGGCTTGACTGGTAGAGAATACCACATAGAATTAAGTCCGCCCTTTTGATTCTTTTGTATTAAGGGATGAAAGAATAATTAAATAAAAATATTTTAATACGGAAAACTCAGACCACCAAAAAAGATAGACGGAGCGTTGCGTAATGCGTATACATATTTCAAGCTTTCAAGTGACGTCGAAACCATGCTCACACTCTTGATCACGCACATATCATTCTGCCTTTTTTATTTCTTTAACAGCTCCTTAAGGGCCACTAGTGGACGTCCATATATGCACCTTAAACCATGTTCTTTGTTGTAAAAGTAAATGGTGTTAGTTGCTTTATGGATGAGTGCCTATTTTACATTAAGATGAACATGGTTTTGGCTTGGTTTGGGCGCTTCGTCTGTCTTTCTTTGTGGGTCTATAGTACTGAAACCTTGTAAATTTGGCTAGTCCTTTAAATAATCTCGTCAGTGTAATCCGTATACTTAAGTCTATTTCAATTCCATCTTGAACTAATGCCAAATGATAGAGTCACGCTGCAGGTATATTATGGTTGTAGTGCGAATAGGTTGACTCGACCGGTGAAGAACCACGCCCTCACAGAACACCAGCGTCAAATAGCAGCTTAATGCTGCTATGTTTCGTATGGTGAGTATAGAGATCCGGAGACCCTTTTTACTGGATACGTGGCATTCCATTTTAGTCCACAGGGGTGACAACTCATCTGCGTATTGAATCTTAATCGATGATAAATGTCTATGGGCCACAGCATCCACTTACCATCAGGTGGACTGTGATTGTTTGTCACCCTTATTCTATAAAAATTAAAACCATCCTGTTGAAAACTGTGATTACTTATTTTGTTAAACTATATAATTACATCCGTAGTACCCACATTTTTCAGTGCATTTAAAAATAGTCTTAGCCCGCTTCAAAAAAGATGGGAAGTTCTGTATTCGACTTAATACTCTTTTTTGTATGTATACTTTGCGATTCTACTACTGATTCTGTGCAGTCTAGTAACCGGCATTACAATGTTTGTTCCTAGCCTTTAAAATACGAACTATTCACTTATCAAAGCTATACAAGTTCACATACTACAGACTCTACTTCAACATGTACAGGATCGTCCCAAATTTTTGGATTATTCCTACCTAGGATGACTCGCAAGGCTTTTGAAATTAAAAATAACACCCTAATTTTAATAGAGAAGATATCTCTCATCTGCTTGGGATCCCATAATTCCAACTAATCTGTTCAAACTAAGATTGTTCATATTTTTTAAATATTGGATTTTCGTTATATTGATAATTATAAATATATCAATATCGGAGTTCTATATTTAAGTTTATTTATTGACTTCCAGACTTCAACATACTGTAAGCTCGTTCGGCGTAGTTCTAACCAAAAATTAATAATTGAAAGTTGAAGGTAAGCCTTCGTCAACTAATAATCAGTCCCCTCCGTGATCATAAGTGCTTTAAAGTGGCCGAAATAATAGTTTTAATGTTAGTCGCGTCACCCCATAGCAAAATTCCATAAAACTTTACGATATGAATTGACTTGATTGATTGATTGAATGATGATTACGCTATTAAAGTAACTTAAAAAAAAAAACTAAACTAGCTTCAACAGTTCTAGTTTCAACATTGGTGAGACTTCCTAATCTTTCTTACAGCATATGCTACAGAACTAAGTCTGTTTGCTAATTCAGATATATGAGCCCCCCATTGAAGAATTGCGTTATCAATGTAAGTGTGCTTAACCTATTCTAGAAACCAATAAACTATTGGTTTCTTACGTAAATATGTCAATACCGACATAAAACAATGACTTATTGGTTTGCTTCCAGATTAGACCGAATCTAAATCTGTGGGTCTTTTTTCCATTTAGGATTATCCGTAGACTGGTTTATCCATTTCTAATGTCATCATTCATTACAGCCCTTCACAAGTCCACTGCTGAACATAGGCCTCCCCCAAATAATGCCACAAAGCACGGTCCTGAGCCACCTACATCCATCGACTTCCTGCATATCTTACCAGGTTGTCACTCCATCTAAGGGGGGGTCGCCCTACACTGCGCCTACCGGTACGAGGCTGCTATTTCTAATGTAATTAGTATAAAATATAACTATTATTTTAGAAATGAATATTAACTTCAATATTTTTATAACGAGGAGTCATGATATCTGTCAATTTTTTCACTTCATTCCTGTGCCGCCCTGGTGGCAGAAATGTCGTAAATGCTAATTAACGATCTAATACGTCTTTACCTATGAAATTGCCGGATGCATCAAACATTTTAATCGCAGCACAGCTTTCAAAACGACAGTGTAGTTTCCTAAATTTTCATTATAGTCTATGGAACAAGTATCTATTAGGTCTTTACCTATGAAATTGCCGGATGCATCAAACATTTTAATCGCAGCACAGCTTTCAAAACGACAGTGTAGTTTCCTAAATCATTATAGTCTATGGAACAAGTATTTATTAGGTCTTTACCTATGAAATTGCCGTTCTGCAATACCTACTGGCCATTTCAAATCCAAAATATTTTTTGTTTGGCTAAGAATTCTAATTTCAAACTAATTTTATTTTAAAAACGTGGAATTCTTTTTTCAAAATTAGTCATTTGTTTATTGATTAACGTTATGTTTTTACCGCATTTGAATCTTTTTCGTTATCAAAAATACCTACGTTAAAAATTCGAGTACCTTATTGTGAAATATGAGTACCGTCGTAGCAGCAACGCTACACAAGCAGCACGCAACATCAACGACATTTACGGAACGAATACTACGAAATAAAGCACCACCTGTGCTTTGCGCGTTTCAGTTCTGGAAATTTTGACCTGAAAAATAAATCCCGTGGTCTTCCGAAACCTTTGGTCGATGACGAATTAAAGGCGATTGTGGAAGTTGACAATACTCAATCTACGGCTGAATTAGTAGCAGGTTTTGGCGTTAGTATCAAAACAATACTGGTCTATTT